AATATCGAAAATCATAAGACTGACATTATTAATAAAATTGTAAAAACCTCAATGAATATTATGATACACAATTGGTGTAAAAATATTAATAATATAATAAGCGGTAAACGTTCTTATCGACAAAACGATAGTTCAAAGCCAACAGAAATTGAAGCTTACAGAATTTTTCAAAATCGCTTTAAAAGAACTTGTAGAACTAGTAGTACTTTAAGAAATTAATGTCAATTTATTTAAATATATATTTCAAAAATTTATTGTGTATAAATAAACAAAAATAAACATTTAAACCTAGTATAAAAATTGAAATCTTCCTTATTTACCGGCTGGGTTAATGTCACTTTATAATTAATATGGATGTCGTCCACCGGAGGGCGCCCTTTTCGCATAAAAATAAAGCATTGGCGTGAACCGTCTATAAAAGTAACTGGTCTGTGGACAGGCAACCTGGGACACCCGGTGTAACGTTATGTTTACCAAATAGGCAACCCTCTCGTTTCGGGCGCTTTAAAAATTGTGGAAATTATTCCTCTCGTTTCGTGCGTCGTGAAGTCATTTATCCGATAAGGGTATTTAGGTAATGAGATAGGTACTATTATTAATAGGTACGACGAGATTTATTCGTGTTTCTTTCTTTGAAGAGAAGCTTTAACAGTTTCGGAAAACTTCGCTGCAGCGCTGCGATTTTCAGTACCTTCTCGTCTTAGTCGTTAGTAGCAAGTGGCGTGAATAGTGTCTTGTGATTTGTCTACTATTGAATAAAAAGTCTGTGGGACCCGGCGCTCCGGTTTAAGGTACTACTTTTTTACGAGTTGATTTTATTACTTTGGTAAATTTTAGATTTTTCTTACAATGTTTTCTGAATTATGGGCAAAAAATTATATTTTGCAATTTTATACGTAGTATAATGAAATGTATTCTAAATATTCATTTTATTTTCCGTTCAGAAATGAGTTACGAGGCAGAACAAGAACGACTTCGTCGTCTCTGGGAGGAAATACCATTGGAAGAAGGACCTGACCATGAAGAAGCGGAGTTGGCCTCTGAGGTAGATTTAATAGAAAAGAGAATTTCTGATAGTGAATCAGAGCAGGAGTGCGATGACGAAAATATTACTGTTCCACCCCCAAAAAAGCCTAGAATTAAAACTTTTTTCGGCAAAGATGGTACAAGTCGATGGAAAAAACATTGTTCCAATAAGGCCGTTCGGACAAGGAAAGAAAATATTATTATCCATTTACCTGGCCTCAGAGACTACGCAAGAAGCTCTAGAACAGTTCTGGAATGTTGGTCTCTTGGTTTTTAAAGAATTAAAAATAAACAATTTTTGTAATTTTTTATTTTTATTTTAGGAATACCCTCCATTCCTGGAACCCGAAGAATTGCCACAGGAATTAAATATTCGTGGCAAAATCGATTACCAAAAGGGTTGTTGTAAATGAAGACAGTTTCCCCTGATGACGTTCCAGCAAAGAAAATGGTCCTATCAGAAACTCTTCGGGGACGTTTAAAAATTGACAGTTTAACCTGTGGATACTTGTTAACAGTCTATGTCGGTCTCGGCAATTTTTTATAAAAATACAACTCTAGAACAATTTTTTTTATTCATAGGTCAAGGCAGAACTATGAGTTTTTGGAAAGAGGCAGAAGATTCATCCTACTTGTTCGATTCGTATGCTGTCAATGAAGAGGGGATCTTTGACATGCATTGCGAACAAAACAACAAGGCGCGCCTATTTAGTTGCGCTCTCAGAAAATCGAGGAAAAACGACGGTCAAAGAAGACCATTCAACATATTTAGATTGGACTTTAGACTGGAGCGTACAACAGCTTCATCACACGTAAGTGATTGCATGTCTTCTATTTCTACGTTTGCAACGAAGGCTAAAAAACCCGGCCGTCCTAAAAAAGTTAAGGGGGGTACGAAATTAATTATACCTCGCGCTGTCCCCGTTAATTCTCCTTCAGTGGCTTCGCCAATACCGAAGAATCAAAAAATTGGGAGACATTGTGAATGTTGAAAATAATGTACCACAACAAGCGGATGATACAGATGTTTCTGTAGTCTTAGACGAAGTTACGCCTGTTCCTGTGTTGTACATCGCGTACAAAATATAACTCGAGCACTCTTCAGAAAGGAGCTTGACAAGCGGAAACGAGGATGTAAACTCTCCAATATCCCAATTGGAGAACGTCGAAAACAATATAATAAAAAGTTTCGCGATAAAAATACTGCTGCTAATTTGGTTTCGTGTAAAATATACCAATTGAAGCATCCGAAAAGCGGTTAAAAAATACAGGGAATCCCATTCTGAGGTACACAGAAAAGCTGTGTTACGTTATAGGGAAACACCCTAAATATCGTTAAGAAATTAATAAAGACGCTGGTAAGTGTTTTAGAAACACTCACGTCGGCAAACATTTAACTGGATGTCTACGTCGACGTGATGATTTATTAATTGGTAAATATCACAATAATGAACAATTTCCCAAAATCAAAAGATTTGCATTAAAACCTCCTTCTCCTTTAAATGATTGCTTTAAATGCCAGCATTGTGGAGCACCATTAATCGAAGTGGAACGTGGAAGATTAAAATGTTGTTGCAACAATGGTCTAAGTAATGTACAAAACTTAGAATCACTGGATGCCAACTTTTATAAAAATCCATTATTTTTTAATCATCCACATTATTATAATAATTTATTCGCGTTGTGTGCCATGTGAACAACATGGACACATCCGAAAGGCCTGGAACTGCAATGCGGACGATAACATTGGCAAAAGTAAGATGCGAGTTTTCGAAAATCACTCAGCCACTCAGTAAACTAACAAAGAAGACTGTCGTTTGGGAGTGGACAGACCAACAAGATGAGGCTTTCCACGAACTAAAGCAAGCTCTGGTCACCGCTCCTACACTCCGACAGGTAGATCACACTCTACCCTTCACCCTCAGAACAGATGCCAGCTCTTATGCACTGGGCGCAGCTCTAATGCAGGCGGAGGGCCCCAATGAACGTCCTGTCGAATACGCTAGTCGACTCCTTACTACCGCCGAGAGAAATTATTCTAGAGATGCCCTTGCCATCGTGTGGGCAGTGGCAAAATTTCGAGGACACATAGAAGAGTCCTCGGTCGTTATAATCACTGACCATCAGCCTTTAAAGTGGCTAATGACACTAAGAACACCCAGCGGCCGACTCGCTAGATGGGCCTTGCAGCTGCAGCCATACAATCTGCAAATTTGTTACGCTCCGGGTAAAGCAAATGTGGTGACTGACACCATCTCCAGGCCACCCACGGATGAGTCAGAGACGCGTCCCTTAAACAGGATAAGTGTGGATCTACCTAAGGTGGACCCCACTATCTGGAGAACCGAACAACAACAAGACACTGAAGTGAAGAAAATACTGGATTGCCTAGAAAATGGAAAACCGGGAGAATCAGCCCCATGGTCCGCTAGAGGGTACATTACCAGCCAAGACTTGCTGTATCGGTATTCCCCCAATGATGACATTGAGGAACCACAACTAGTAGTACCAGCCTCCAAACGCCTAAGAAGTTACAGCTATACCAGTTCTAGACCACTTTCGAGAGAATGGTCTAAAATCGGTACAGAGTTTTGAGGTGGTCTAGAAATGGTACGGCATTTCGAGGTGGTCTAGAAATGGTATAGCATTTCGAGGGTAGTTGGAAAAAAATTCCAAAAAACGCTGGGATTCGAACCCGGGTCATCCGGACCGCAACGTTAAGCGCTTTACCAACTCGGCTACGCACCTACCCGACGGTAAACGTTCAAAACGTTGATACCTTTCTGCCGATCGGCGCAGCGCTCGCTCAAGCGCTTAGATACCGGGGGCGCGTTTGGGCCTTTTGACGCGCAGGGGTTCATGATGACGCCACGAGGGCTTCCGGGCGTTTAGATACCGGGCGCTACCGCGCGTTTGGGCTCTTTATTAGAGAAAAAAAAAGGATATTAGATGTCGTTTGTAGATCAACTAAATGCTGTGAGCTTGAAAGCCAGAGAGAATAAACCAATTATAAAATTCAATGATTTAAATATAGGCGTAGCCTACCCTATACAAGGTGCCAAAGTTATACAAACAAAATTTGGTAGTTGGACACTTGGAAACTACGTAACTTGGAAATAAACTTGGAATAAACTTGGAAATTACGTAACATTTTTACCCACCAGAGTGACGGATAGTTATTCAAAACATTTGGATAAACTTTGTTCTGAAAACTACTCCTTGACCATTACCGGGAAACAGGATTGTGGGAACCTGCCACCTAGAATACTTTTTCTAATAGAGGTAAATTTTCGCTAATATTTAAACAAAAAAAAAGTTTCATTATTTTAATTTCTTTTTAAGGAGACACCTGTAGAACACTGTGTATAAAACCCTACTACCGTTTCAAGATTAGATGCTGATTAATTTTACTACCTGCTTCCCTATCAAGTAGAAATATTGATTTTAAATTATGTAATTATGTACATTTTTAAATGTAAGTTAATTAGGTTACATGAATCAGATTATTAATACTAGTAGTGGAATAATAACCGTTTGTACAAAAGCATTAGCTAAAATTAGTGAAAATCCGAACCCATATGATGTTAATAAATGGGTGAAAAAATCTTCAAAAAAATTTTAAACTTTTTAATAAGGCATTGCGGAATGTAACATTGTCAGTTGGTGATCAGAGAAATCTCATCACAAATTTAGGTCATTTAAAGCGTCTGCGTGTCTTAATTGAAAATGTAGGTACTAAGAAGGGAAAAGGATTATCAAAGAATCGTAGTGATAGGATTAAATGGGAAAATCTTGCTTCTTCTTTTAAAAATCGCATTCAAACCGGTGTTATAATAAATTTAACGCATAAAGATTTGGATAATTTTTTTGAATGGTCATCCGATTTCTGGACCCGGCTTCAATACTTCCGATCAATAGGGTTCCCGCTCACGAAACCCTATCGACTCCGTCTTCGAGCAGAGGGACTACCTCGAATGACAGTTTGGCTACCCCCCTCCATTTTGAGTCCGCCCCGACCGATTTCCGATTCCCAACGACAAGAACGGGAAACCTCTGGTCCCGTCCTCTTCGAAACTTTTCCCAAACTGACCTTCACCGTTCCTTCCAGAATGGACTCGGACGATTCATTCGAAGTGATACAACTCTCTCCGAGCGCCGACGATACCGAGTTATTCGACATACCGTTAGAACACAATCGGCCAATACCTATACAGGATGACGTCGACTCGACGCCTAACTCCGTTGAACTTGATACCACCACGACGGTGAAGGTTGACCAGGCCACCCAATGTACTCCGTCAGACTTTATAGTCCCCGTACGCGGATCCGGCCATTGGTTTGAAGACACGTTTATCAACAACCGATATGACCGACCTATCGCTCCACTCGTCACCAACAATCGTTTTCGTCGTGGAGGACCATCTCGGATCGCCCAACCCCGTGTCATCCGTCAAAGATTCCTGTTGGAATTGTGGAGGAACTGGACACACCCGTCAGCAATGTTGGGAGACACCCCGACACCGCGAACTCCGTACTCATTAATTTATTTTCTTCGAAGAAAAGGGGGGATGTAATGAAGCAATTTTCCCGACCCAATAATTTAATTTATTTGTAATAAATTCCGAATATCGTTGCGAATTTACGCGTGAACTTTGACCCATCGCTGGTCAGCCGGAGACCCGTACGTGGAATCGTTTGAATCCCTTCCATTGACCGATCAACTCCTACTGTTAGCCAGATTAAATGGCTAGTTTTTATAAATAAAAATTAATATAAAATGGAAGAATCTAATATATAATCTAAAATCTAAAATATAAAAGAAGAAAAAAAAAATGTACAGAAGCTTTTATTATTAAGTTACATTTCTATATCGGTCCCGAAATTTTGCAGACATATTTAAGAGCGTAAGATTTTCTATGCATTTCCACAGAAGGTTGTCTAGGAATTCAATTTTTATCCGCAGTTTCCCGTATAGGTGGCTGTTACTCCGAATCACGACGAAAAATTCGAGAAAATCGATAAATTCGATTTAATAAATTGCGCCGCGCAATACAAAATAAGCGCCGAGGTTTACTCTTACATGGTATTTTTTTGCCATGACTAACTTATATAACTTGAAAAAAGCCCCAAATACGGATGATTGTTTTTAAATTTCCCTCTATATTTCAATATTTCTAGTTCCTAATTTTGACGTTACGTCTAAGTTGACCGTTTGTTTTTTAGTCAAGTATAAAACGTTGCCAAAGTTATCTTTACGAATATTATCTAAACTAATATCGTATAACTATGATAAAAATATACTTTTATATTTCTTTGATTGTTTTAACAATCTATTGAATTTTATTAATTCGTTTTTTTTAATATAAATAATTGATAAAATCTTTTATTCATCTTTCGAATTGTGTATATAAAAGTGGCAACACCGTAGATATTAGAACGATCCTTGTAATCCCGAATATCGTTCATTTGTATTTAAACCATGAATCGAATTGGTAAGTTATCCAACAAAAATATGTATGCATGTTTCATCATGTAAAATCAATCCAGAAATAATTTCATTACACAATGTGTTAGTATTCAATAGCTTTGTAAATTTTATATTGAAATATGTAAATTGAATTTCGAATTATAGTAGAAGGTTATTTTTTTAATTTATCATAAAAAATCAAAATTTTGTTTACATACTGAATTTACTTGTAATGACCACAAAGGTAACAAGTCATTAATACATTTATTTTAATTTGAATATTTTTTGCAGACCCGGATTTGTTAGACGACCCGCCGCCGCTGGCGCCATTCATGGCTCCACAATGGGCGCCCTGGCCGTCGGCGTCTTATATGGCGCACCTGCTGGCGCCATACCAGGCGCCCCCGAGGACGCCCCCTCTGGCGCAGTACCCGGCGCCCCCGCCGACGCCATATATGGCGCCGGCGGGCCCCCTGCTGGCGCTAGCGCCACTTGAGTCGATCGCCTCTACAAGTAAGTACAGAACCTAATAATAACTAATAATAAACGGCCGGAATATAGACAAAATATTTTTTGTATCCGATTTGTATTCGATAAAATATTATTTGTCTATATTCCGGTGATATATTATTAAAAACCTTTCAATTTCCTTTTAATTATTAATAATCATTAATAATGAAACTTATTTAATAATAACTTTTTAATTTTAATTTCAGTATCCACGTCGACATCTAGAGGGCGGGGTGGTCGGGGTGGAAGAAGAGGGCGGGGCCGATGGAGGGGCAGGGGCGGCCGCCGCCGCCGTAATGAAGGAATCGGAGCTACGCGGGGCGGCCGCCCCATTCAATTAAATTACACCTTTTATACTTAATACTTAATAAAATAGTTTAACTTTACGTTTTTGAGTTTTTTTTAACCTTTTTACTTTTTATTTATAGTTTTAATAACTCGTTTCAAATAACGTTTCAAAACTCTAAAAAAATCATTAGGAAAGACGACGGGAGTGGGAGTAATTTAGGGGATATTTATACGTATACAGGGTGGCACATTTTTAAGAAGGAAACAGACGTGTTTTTGGGTAGAAAAAATGAAAAATCGTTCAGACACGTCAATTTATATATCGAGGGGGACGTCATTAGAATCGTTACTTTTTTCTGAAAATAAAAGGAAATTTATACATGTGTCAATTGGTTTTTGAGATTATACCTTTAAGGATAAAATTTCAATTTTAATACAATGAAAAGATATTAAAATTAATGGAATATTTATCAAATTATGGAACGTAACTTGTTATTTAGTAATTTCGAACCTTTTACAACAGAGTTGCCAGAGGTACGAAATTGTCAAGTATTTTGTACAATACATACACATATATATTTTTCGAGAATAACGATACTTATAAGTAATAATTTAATGCAGTATAAATTTACACTTTCTATCAATTTACAGTAGGGTGTGAAAAAAATCATTTTTTTAAAATAACTGTGATACTATTGTTGACATCTTTATGAAATTTTGCACAAGTCTTCTATGAATCAAGATGCATTTTCTAATGTACAAATAATTTTATTATTTTCACCAGTGGCGTCCGTTTGGGCTTTGCATTATATATTTTTTGAGAAAAAACTGATACGCCACTGCCTAATATTAAAATAAAAATTATTTTCGAAATCCTCTTCAATTTAGAACAAATTTTATTTCTTGGCTTTATTCCGTACGACTCACTGTTTCGGATAAAAAAAATAAATGCATTTATTTGTACGCTGCCGCTACATTAGCCGCTGTACTAAAATTTAAAATATAATACATTTTAGGTTTAGGACATATGTTCATATAAAGTTTTTTTCTTTAAATGGGTCCAAGAATCACCCCCTTAAATATTAGCATGTCATTATGGAACACCTTGTATAGGTTTATTCGTTTTTTTTTCTGTTTTGTACTATATTCAGAAACTGTGAAGTACAGATGCAGAGTACTAGAGTACTAAAAATAAGATGCCACGTGAAAAAAGTGATATCTGGAAATTTTTCATAAAAACAAATATAGGAGGTGTGTGCAAATTGTGCAATAATGATGTTAAGTCGACAGGTACTACAACTAATTTGTTTAAACATATTAAAAGGAAACATCCTAAAGCACCTCCGCCGGAAATGAAGAAAAATATTGAGAAAAACCAGGTAAAAATAAATTATTTTTGTTATACAAGGTGTTTCAGAAAAATGTTCCCCCTTTCTGGATAGGTGGAACAATATGTGCAAAAAATATTTTTTTCAACACCCTGTATCTTAAAAACGGATGCTGTTACGAACATTTTTTCTGAGCAAACCCGACTTATTTTGTATATGTATGTGTAATGTTCTACATATCCTACAAATAGGGAACCTTTTTTGATACGACCCTGTATATATAAAGCAAAAAATATGAAATCAATATTAATTCATTTAAAATAGAAAATGGAAATTGAAACCCAAAACGAAGGTTTTGGTTTAGATTCACTTTCAACTTGTTTAAAGTCTTCAGAAACTTCAACTTCAACTATAATGTCTAAAGCAAGCACAAGTGCATCATATTCTCGTCAACCTCTGATCACCGAAGCGGTAACTGCAGTTAGATCTTTTCAAGGTATGTATTTCATAAATTTCTATTAAACAACAGCTTGGAATTTAAGTTAATTTTTATTTTATAGATGGCGGATCAAAAGCAAGTAATATAACAAATGCCATAGAGTATATGATAGTAAAAGATAATTTAAGTTTAAACACAAGTGACAAAGAAGGTTTTCAGTTCTTAATGAAAACTGTTGCTCCCCTTTATAAAATTCCAGGAAGAAAAAGCGTTACTAAACTAATAGATGAAAAATACGACATTTTACAAAATATTATAAAAAATAAGATCTCGGATGTTTTATATATTACTTTAAGAGGGGCGTTTAACAGTTCCGCAGTCGTACCAATTATCCCTAGAATCTAGTAATTTTTTGTAGTTGCATTAATTGAACCAGATGGCGTTAGCTGTCTGAAAATTAAATTTTTAGCCAAGTTTTTAACCAGTAATATTTTCGAAAACGTATAAACAGGTGGCGCAACTGCAGTGAATGTAAATGTAAGTGGTCATGGTCAAGTCGTTTTCGACCGCTAATACTCGGACCAATATTTTCGAAAGTTAATTTACCTACGACTAATGGAAAAGAGTGTAAATACAGAGATGTGAAAAAACTATTCTATCTAAAAGCGGAAAATTTTTGAAACAGCCAGGGATTTGGTACAGACACAGCGGAGACATTAATTTTTAGTACAAAAAATATGCTCAAAATTTATGCTTTTACATACATTTCAAATTTTGGAAGGAAATAAGAGAAATAATTAAGTAATTAGAAAATAATAAAAAAAAATAAATACATAAAATTAATAAATAAGAAATACATTTTCGGTTGCCTACAGGAGAAATATATTTATAGATTTTTTTATTACATGTTTATTCATTTCGCTCGTTTCGGTTTTTTTATTTGCTATCTACAAATAAAATGTTTTTTACAAATCTTTCCCTTAATTATTTATTACAGCTTTTCGAACAGTTTAAAAATTTCAAAATACCCAAATTCTAAAGAATAGCGGAATACCTAGAATTACTGGAAACACATGGCTACACTTAATGGCTTTGCCTAGGTCAGCCTGACAACTTTACAGATGTTCGTTGGGATTATGAAAAGACATTTCAGTCTTTTTTACTTCATCTTTAAAGAAATTGATAGTTGATAGATAATAGTGCAATGAGTATACAGGGTGGCACATTAGTAAGGAAAAGCTCAATATATCAGTTATTTTAGAGGATAACTAGATAACAAAAAAA